CTTTCGATGAGAGATGAGGCTCTATATGGGGTAGAACGCACAGTTTCAGAAGCCAGGCCCTTGTTACTGGAGAGATATCTAGCTCAATGAGCTAAGCATAGGTGAAACATGCTTTGCTGATTAGACAAACCCTTATTTTTCACAAAAGCCCTGAGGGAGGATACACCAAGTCACAGAGCAAATCACTGGCAATGCTAGATCTAGAGCCCAGATCTTCCTGCTATGCCACCCCCCACCCCCTGGCAACCTTCCTAGGATCCGCTGTGTTCCTTCTCTATGAATTGCTAATACCCGTAGGGGAAGTGCCCTGTGCTGGTGCCTGACCATCTGGCACATATCACATGGCCCCCAGGCAAGGCGGACAGCTGACCTCAGCTTTGGTGTGACCCTCCACGGCCCTCTGCAACGGGAATCTGGCAGACTTGTGAAGAGGCAGCTCTGTCTTCAGGGGGTCGGTCCCAGGCCCATCCTTACCTGCCTTCTGCTCCTGATAAGGCGGGGCTGCTCCCCAAGGGCTGTGAGGCTGCTTGGCGCTTGGCTACCACCTGGAGTTGGATCCTGAGCAACCTTAGTGCCTCTTGCATGTCACCTGGTCTTTGGATTCAGCGTCCTCCTGTGCACACGTGGCACTTCCTGCTTTCACTGTTGATCTGGATCCATTTGGACTTGACGTTGTTCCTACCTGCCCACTCTCTACCAAGGCAACCTGGTGGCTTCTGACACTCACGATCTGTTTGCCTGACAGTCCCCTCTGGGAGCACCTATGGGTCGCTGCCCCTGCAAGACCACCCCTGCCCAAATCCAGACACCGGAATCCTCAGTCAACTCGGAAACCTAAACCAAGGAGTATTCTTCAGACATGATGGGCTGAAGAGAGAGTACAGCAGGTTCAATCCCCAGTGTCCCATGGGATCCCCTGCCCCCAAGCACGGCCAGAAGTGATCCCTGAGCACACCAAAGCAAGCACCAGCGGGTTTGGCCCAAAATGAAAATGAAATGAAGCCCCAGACTGCCACGGGTATGAAAGTAAGCCTGCATGAGATAATATTCAAAGGGCACCCTCCATGCCCACCCTCTCCTCTTGTGCAGCCCAGGGGAGGTGCATTTGTTTCCTCCAGCGAGGCTCCTGGCATAGAAGCATCTTATCATCAACACGGAGGCCAGACAGACTCCAGGACACTTCTGGCTTGATGTCCCTGTTAGTTTCCTGAGCTGTCATGATGAATTGCCAAACTTGCTGGCTTAATCATCAGAAGTTCATTCTCTCAATTCTTGGTGGTTGGAGGGGATGAAGTCAGGGTGACAACGAGGAAAGTCTCCTTTTGGCAGTTCTGTGGGAGAATCTTTTATTTTATTTTCTTTATGGTGTGTGTATGAGGACTCCCAAGCAGTGCTCAGGGGAGTTTTGGGAACCACTCTCAACCAGACAAGAAAATTCATGCTCAGGCCTAGTGGAGTTCAGGGTCTGTGAGGGCTATACCAGGTACATCAGACAGTACTCAGGGGACCATGCAGTGCTAGAAACCAAAATCAGAGCCTTGGTCACATCCCAGACCTTGAGCTATATCTGCTGCCCTTGCTCCCTGACTCAGACACCAGTGGCTATTATTTCTGGCCAGTGTTCACATCACTCCATTTTTCAATTTTTCAAGGCCAACAGCTTCAAATCCTTCAGTTCCACAGTCACATCGTGTGTGTGTGTGTGTGTGTGTGTGTGTGTGTGTGTGTGTGTGTGTATTCTCCCTGGGCTTCAGTCTTACATACAAACAATTTAGGGCCCACCCTGATCATCTAGTGTCATCTCCCCATCTCAAACTCCTTTATCTCATTTCAAAGGGCCTGTAAGCACATTAAGCGACATTCATAGGTTATGGGGATTGGCACCGGATTTCTTGGGAAAACTGGTTTTCAGGCTGTCATTTACAGACATAAGCAACTTGTCCACTATCACTAAACCTCAGCTTTCCCTTCAGTGAAAGGAAGTTAACAGGAGTATGGGGAGGAACACTGTAGCACTGTTCTCTCATTGTTCATCGACTTGCTCGAGTGGGCCCAGTAACGTCTCCATTGTGAGACTTCTTGTTACTGTGTCTGGCATATCGAATACGTCACCGGTAGCTTGCCAGGCTTTGCCGTGTGGGTGAGATACTCTCAGTAGCTTGCCGGGCTCTCCAAGAGGGGCGGAGGTATGGAACTCCGGTCGGCCGTGTGGGCCACAAGGCAAACACCGTGGGAGAGGATGCAATAGTGTTAGCTAGGAAAGAGGGAGTGTCCAAAGCTCTGGAGGAGGGTCGCAGCAGGAGGTAAAGCCCCACCTCAAAGATGAGGGCAAGGTTGCAAGGATGTCTGAAGTTCCCCACCAAACATTCAGGAGAATCTTCCAGAGAGGACCATCTCAGAGCCAGAGGGGACTTTCCAAAGATTGAACACCAGCAGAGCAATGACAAGCAGCAGACTTACCCAGGGTTATAGAAAATTCTAGAGGACCTTGTGGTGCTATGTTTTCTCTTTATTCGGGGTGGGAGAATCTCCCAAGGGAGAGAGGCAACAGGGGACTGGGATACTGCTATGGATTTCTCTTTGGGAGGGATTTCAGTGCTTAATCATTGACATCTTTGTAGTTAATTGACTCAAAAATGACCCTTACAAAATCTTGGGCTGGTGATAGCACGGTAGGTAGGGTGCTTGTTCTATATGGGGCGAACCCAGGTTCGATCCCTAGCATCCCACATGGTCTCCTGAGCCCTGCCAGCAGTGATTCATGGGTGTGGCTCCAACAAAAAACAAATAAAAGGGGCTGGAGCAAGAGCAGAGTGGGTAGGGTGTTTGCCTTGCACGAGACCGACCAGGTTCGATTCCCAGCATCCCATATGGTCCCCTGAGCACCGCCAGGGTATTTCCTGAGTGCAGAGCCAGGAGTAACCCCTGTGCATCACCAGGTGTGAGCCAAAAAGCGCACACAAAAAAAAGAACAAAAACAAAAAACAAATCTCTGGCACCTCTCTGAGAAGATGACTCTAAGATTTTTTTTTTTTTTTAGTTTTTGGGCCACACCCAGCAGTGCTCAGGGCCTACTCCTAGCTCTGTGCTCAAGAATCACCCCTGGCAAGTTCTGGGGACGACACGGGACATCAGGAATTGCACTGCGGTGGGCCAGGTGCAGGGCAAGTGCCCTAGCCACTGTTTTATCATTCTGGCCTCTCAAAGTTCCTTTCCTTTGGGAGGATAATGGGGTGTGGGCCACACCCAGTGGTGCTCCAGAGTGACCCCTGGCACTGCATGCTCAGGGACCATTATGTGGTACAGGTGTGTGTGTGTGTATGCGTGTATGTGAAGGGGTGGGGGGTTGTCTAACATGTGTTTTGCTGTATGCAAGGCAAGTGCCTTAACAACCCTGTACTATCTCTCTGGTCCCTAAATCTCCTTTCTTTTAATCTGAAAATGGGAGGAGGTATTAAATATGAAGTAATGTGGTTTCCAAGATAAGGTCATGAAATGAAAGTTCTCAGGCAGGTTGCCTAGAGGGCTGAGTGCCAGCTTCGCATGCTATCTGCCCCAGCAACACCACACACAGTGGGGCGTGGCACAAAGACCAAAAACCAAAGGGAAAAAAATGAAATAGCTGGGATAGATAAATCAGGGTCAGTGCTGCTGGCTAACCGTGATTTTTTTCATCACCAGTGCAGGCCAGGACTTATCCTTGAGCACCAAGTCAGGACTAAGCACCTGAGCACCACCAGGTGGGGACTAAGGCCTCCCCATCCTAAAGAAATAGCTCTGCCTGCTTGTTTTTGTTCTGACACGTCTCATGGATCCAGCATCTATAAGTTGGCTGTCCGTGTTAGCAGAACACCCAGTATGGCAGTGCTACAGGCTGAATACGGTGCAGGGCGAGTCCAACCGCCTCTCACCACGACCCTAGGCTCTGAGATCAGGGACTACATCCGCCTCGTGCACAGCTGGCGTGCCTGGGCACAGCGCATGGCATACAGTAGGTGCTCAGTAAGAACGATGCATGCACCTAAGGAGCTGACTGGCTTCAGGGCCGACTAGTTCAAAGAAGAAACGCGGGACCCAAAATGAGTCACTTTAACTGAGAGCTAACGTGAGTGAGCACACAAGAGAGAGCTGACCTCTACACTTGTAAGAGTGGGCCAGGGGCCAGAGAAACAGCACTGGGGTGGGGGTGGGGGAAAGGCAATAGCCTTGCACAGGTTCCATCCACAGATCCACAGAGGCTGCCCTGAGCCCCGGCGGGCTCAGGAGGGAGGGAACCCTAAGCACAGCCGGGTGTGGCCCCGACACAAAAACCAGGCCAGGGGCTGGAGAGATAACACAGCGGGGAGGGCGTTTTTGCTTTGCACGTGGCCCACCCGGGCCCACCCAATTCCCAGCATCCCATATGGTCCCCTGAGCACCGCCAGGAGTAAGTAATTCCTGAGTGCAGACCCAGGTGTAACCCCTATGCATCGCCAGGTGTTAAAAAGCAAAACATCGAAAAAACAAAAAAATAACAGGCCCAGCTTGCCCCAAGTCACCCCGCCAAGGCCCCAGCGGAGCCCCTGATCTTACTCCCCCTTCCCCCACTGCGGAAACCCGGCTCAAGACCCGCCAGCCCGGCTGGAAGCAGAGCCGAGAGCGAGGAAGCCGGGGGGGGGGGGGGGGGGGGGGGGGGGGGGGGGGGGGGGGGGGGGGGGGGGGGGGGGCGAGCCGCGCGGCCGCGCACAAAGGCGGCATCCGGGCGCCTCGGGGCTTCCGGGCTTCCGGCCCCGCGGCCCGCCCCTCCCCCTTCTCCCTCCCCCCCACTCCCCGCCTCTGCCGGGGCCGCGGGGCCGCGCACGCCGGGCTCGAGGCCGCGCACGCCGGGCCGGGCCGCGCGCACGCCGGGCTCGGGGCCGCGCGCGCAGGGCGGGGCGTGCGGAGGCGCGCGCGTGCGCAGGCGTCGCGCGGAGAGGGTCGAGGCCGAGCAGTGGAACCCGGCCGGGTCCCGTCGTGGTCTACGCCGCCTGTCGCGCCGCCCGCCCCGCCGCCGCCGCCACCACCGCCGCCGCCGCCGCCGCCGCTGCCATGGGAGTGCAGGTGGAGACCATCTCCCCCGGAGACGGTGAGTGGGCGCCCCCCCCATCACCCCGGCCTCGGGCCCGGGGACCCTCCCGCCCCGCCGCGCGCGCAGCCGCTCACCGGCGTGCCGGCCCGACTGTCCGTCTGTCTGTCTGTCTGTCTCCGCAGGGCGCACCTTCCCGAAGCGCGGGCAGACCTGCGTGGTGCACTACACCGGTGAGTGCGGGGTCCCCCAACCCTTGCCCCAGCCCCTGCCCCAGCCCTGCCCGCCAGGCCCGGGGCGTGGCGGCAACGCCGAGGCCCGCGTGGCCCGACCCCGAGGCCCGGCCGCTGGCCGCAGCCCCCGGGGGGTCGGGGGTGGGACCGCGACGGGCCCGCCGAGCCCCGCAGGCCCGGGCCGCCGCTGTCCCGTGCGCCCGCTGCACGGAGGGGGGACGTTGAGGCCCGCGGCAGGGCGCCGAGGAGCGGCGGAACCACGCAAGGTCACGCCGCGCGCCCACACGGGGCCGGCGAGCCCGGCGCGAGGGTCCGTGCCCCCGGGTGTCTCGGCGCGCTGGTGCGGGGGAGAGAGGGGCGAGGTGGCTCGGGCGTGCGGGAGCGTCCCCCGCACCCCGCCGGAGTCACTGCGCTGGCCCAGCCCGGCGGGGAGCTGGGAACCTGCTGGGTCGTTGCCCCTCCCCGATAGTGACGGTCCAGGACCTGTGATTCAGGCGCCCCCCAGCCCGCCCTGCGCCCCGCATCCCGGTAGGAGCGCAGACGTTCCTCGGCCAGCGTCGTTTTACTTCGTTTTATTGGGGGGGAGGGCGGGGAAGCAACACCTGGCAGTGCTCGGGCCTGACTCCTGGCTCGGTGCTCAGGGATCACGCCTGGCGGTGCTCAGGGAGCCCTGTGGGGTCCCGGGGACGGCATCCGGGCAGGCAAGTGCCCTCACCCGCCCCCCTCCCCTTCCCCCTCGCCCTCCTCCCACCCGCACCTCTATCTCTAACCTAGACCCCTCCAGGGAATGTTCACGCGGTGCCTGGGACCATCTCTGACTTCATGCCCTTACAAGGCCCTCCTGGGTGGGAGGGGAGGGGAGGGGGAGCGGGCGGAGACTCCCCGGGAGGCTGTGGGCCGCCAGAGGGGGCGGTGATTGGCGGGGCCTCAGTAGTCGGTAGGAATAACCGCCCTCCCCCTCCTCCTGCGCGCTCCCCTCTCCCACCCTTTCCTCCCGGTCCTCCCCCTCCTTCCTCTGTTTCTTCCTTCTCCTGCTGGTAAGGAGGGGTGGAGGCAGTGTGGGCCCTGCTGCAGAGGGAAGAGCCCCTGGCCTCCCCGGGAGGAAACAGACTCTCCTTGGGAAGGGGAGGGGGGTGGGGAGGCGATGCCCTCCCCCTGCTTTGCCCTCTGATTTTTCTGGTCCCTTTTCCCTGGGGTAGGGGGTGGATGGAGGACCGGGACCTTTTAAAAGGGCCACCACAAGCGCTGGTGTAGCGGCCAGTGTCTGCAGGGAACCGGCCACTGACCTTCTCTGCATGTCCTGCTCAGTTGGGTGTGGATGAGAAGAGTGACCACTGTTGTGGGCTGGGGTTTGGAGGCTGAGCAGCCAGTTCCCCAGGGTCCCCTCGGGCCCTCCTTCCCCTTTAGGACTGCACATGCCCATGGGGAGGACCACCAGGCACATCATCATCCCTGGTGCCCCAGGTCCACGTGGCTGCTCCTCCTCCATGGCTCACCCATACAGCTTCTGCTGCCAGGCCAGGACCCCAGGATGTCAGCAGCGGCCACACTCCCAGCCTCGTGACAGGACCCCAGAGCATCGGCAGGGGCCCCCGGGCCTCTTCCCTGCAGCTGCTGTGTTTTCCTTGAGGGTGGCACTCACCCCCATGTCCCCAGAACCGTCGGGAGTCTGGTAGTGTGATAGGATCCAGGCTTGTGGGGTTTTTATTTCATCTTGTTTTTAATTTTTTTAAAAATTGGAGGGGGGCAGTTTGGCCTCACCTGGCGATGGTCAGAGGTTGTTACTCCTGGCTCTGAGCTCAGGAATTGCTCCTGGCAGTGCTGGGGGGACCATATGGGATGCCTGGGTTGGAACCCAGGTCGGCCGTGTACAAGGCAAACATCCTACCTTCTGTCCTGTTGCTCTAGGCCTCCTTGCCGCAAAGATGCTTTCTTGTGGGGCGGGCTCTGCCTCAGTCTCCCCCACCCGGTGGCTTTGTCTGCATGACTTTGTCCAACTGCCACCAGCCTCCCAGGAAGAACCTGTTTCAGACCTGTGGGGGTGTGGGAGGCGCTTTGAGATTTCATCTGTAGCAATTAAGGCTCTGGGAAGCGGTTCCATCTGAGGGAGCTAATTGTTGGGAGTGTGTTAGTATCAGAAAGATCTGAGGGGCTTCAGGGAAGCATCCTGGACCTCAAGAAAGGAAAAGGGATTCTCCTGGGGCCTCTTAATTTTCTTTTCGGGCGCCCAGTACCGTTCCAGAGGTTTCTATGGAGTTTTGTTGGCCAAACCTGGCAGTGCTCAGGGACCAGATGGGATGCCAGGGATCGAACCCAGGTTGGCCTCGTGTAAGGCAAACGCCCTACCCGCTGTGCTATCTCTCCGGCTCCAGGCTTCTGTTTTCATCCAACTGGGAAGGGGTGAAAGTTCAGCGGGGGGCCCTCCCACCCCATGCTGTGCACGCCCTGGGTCTCCTCTAGGGCAGGAAGCTCCCGGTGCTTGACAGTGTGTAATTTAGGGCCTTCCTGTTCGCAGGAGGGTGAAGTATAGTGGGCAGGGGTGCAGGGCTGGCAACCCTCTGACGCAGCCTGTCCTGGTTCCGCAGGTTCAGAGAAGCAGCTGTGGAAGCCAGCATCTCGCAGCAGTGAGGGGCATGCACAGCACGGGCCAATCCTAGCCACGGGAATGTTTTATTTTATGGTTTGGTTTGGTTCGGTTTTGGTTATTTTTATGTATGGGGGTGAGGAACATCGCCCTTTTTTTGTTCCTGGGCCATACCTGGTGATGCTCCGGAGTTATTCCTGGCTCTGCACTCGAGAGTCACTCCTGGTAGGGCTCAGGGGGTCGTGTGGAATGCTGGTTGTCGGAAGGCGGGTGGGAGTGCCGTCTCCCTGGTAGTGTTCGGAAAACTGGGGGTTCCACTTGGTGCTTGGGCTGTGTTGGGGACCCTTGCGTGTTCAGGGGGCTCTGCGGTGCTGGATGGAACTTGACCGGCACCCACAATTCTGCCCCTTTGAGCCATAGTCCCCGTCCCCGTGCGAGTGTTGTAATGCTGCAGTGGTGGCCTGGAAGTCAACCTCTCGCCCACTCCCTAGGGTGCCTCCCATGCCCTCTGGCCTGTGCAGTGGCCCCTGGGGGTGTGTGTGCAGGGGGCGGGGAAATGAAAACTTCAGCGTTCACTAGTCAGACACCTCCCAGTAGGAACAGGCACTGCTGTGGGCAGCTAGTCCTCATCGTGCTGGATGACTCCTGACCCTTGTTGACTCCGTCAGTGGTGCTGTTGGCCCTGCCCTGACACACAGCCTGGCTCTGTCCCTTCTCACAGCTGCAGGCCACGTGCTTGCCATTGTCACACAGCATCAAGAGGGTGGAGGAATACTTTGATTATCCACTTCAAAAGGACTGAGGGGTGGGCTGGGGAGATAGTCAGGGCTTAGGGCCTGCACCTTGCATGCGTCCAACCCTTGGTTCATCTCCAGTATCACCTGATCCGGAAGCACTGCCAAATGCAGCCCCGAATGCCACCATGCCCACCACAGCACTGCCCGTGTGGCAGGTGCTCCCGAGCACCACAGGGTCCTTTTGTCTGTCTGACCTCTGGCTTTGAACCAAGCAAAACCAAAGATTCCTTGGTCCCATTGCCTCAGGAGTTTGACTTGGAGAACACTGAGGCTGCTGGGAGGGCGTGGGCACCTGCCCGTCCCACCCCGGCTCCATCCCACTGCTGTTCTTCAGCCTCTACCTCCCCTCCTACTTTGTTTCACCCCTGCTGAATGTGTCTCGGCCAACACGCTGGAACTGTCCCATGTCTAGGGACTCCCGGATGCCACCTGTGCTCCCCATTTGTCTTCTTCCTTGGGCAGACGGGTGGTCACTGGTGAGGCCCAGGGGCAGGATCCATTTGGTTCCTTCTTCAGGTGTTTGTTCAGAAGCAGCAGAAAGCCAAAATCCGGCGACGTGGCCCTTGAGCAGGTACAGATCGCGCCTCTGGCTTGTAACCAGCGTGTCGAGAGCTTCTTTTGTGCCCCTCGCTCTGCTTTCCTGTGCTTTGCACTGAGCGGGAGCACAGCTCCTGCTGGGGGGCGAGTGGTCAGTGATGCCATCACTGCACGTGCTCCTTGTCCCAGGCACTTGAGTGACGTGTTCTTCCCTCTTTCTGGGTCCTTCTGCCAGCCATGTCTGTCTAGAGTGGACCCCGCAGAGCCTGGATTTCAGGGCTTCAGCTCTCGGAGTGGCTGAAGCTTTGCTGCAGTTGGAGACCAGTAGTGTTGAACAGAGCTGAGACTAGTTCTTCCATTTTACAAGTAGAGGAAATAAGCACTTACACAGGAGACATGGGTCTGAATGAAGAGTTTCTATTATTAGTAATTGTAGTAGCAGTAGTGGTTTTTGGGGGTTTTGGTTGTTTGTTTTGCGGTGCGGATATTGAACCCAAACCTTTAGCTTCACACGTGCAAGTGCTCTGCCCTAGCCCTGAGAATTCATGTTAAAGCAAGACCACACAGGGCCAGAGCTACAGCACCGCAGGAAGGGCATTTGCCTTGCATGTGGCGACCCGGATACAATCCCCTGAGCGTGGCCAGGAGTAATTCCTGAGTGCAGAGCCAGCAGTAATCCCTGAGCATAGTCCAGTATGACCCAAAAAGCAAAAAGAGAAAAAAAAAAAGCCAACAACCCAAAAACACCACCAGTCAGGCCACACATTGCATCTAATTGTTTGGGGTCTTTCGGGGGTTGGTCACACCCAGCAGTGCTCAAGTGTTACTCCTGCCTCTGCATTCAGCAATCACTCCTGGCAGTGCTTGGGATGGATGGGGATCAAACTCCGGTCACTCAAGTCGGCTGCATGTGGGCAGATCCCTCCCCACTGTACTATCTCTGCAGCCATTCTCTTACATTTGCGAGTAAGGGCAGTTTTCAGTAGTGTTCATTGTTTCTGGGTGGGTAGCAGAGGGGTAGTGTCGGGCTACTCCAGCCTGACTGAGCGGATTAATGCAGGTCCCAGGCTGAGAGACGTCCC